GGTGTTAACTTAGTTTGACAAGAAAATACAAATCATCAGAACTGATAATGGTTCTGAATTCTTTCTTAAACAATTTTATACTGATCATGGCATTATTCATCAAACATCATGTGTTGAAACACCACAACAAAATGCAAGAGTTGAAAGGAAACATCAACATTTGTTGCAAGTAGCTAGAGCTTTACTTTTTCATGCTCATTTGCCTTTACATTTCTGGATTGATTGTGTTCTTGCTGCTGCTCATATCATCAACAGAATTCCCACACCTGTTTTAAATGATAAATCTCCTTTTGAAATGCTTTTCAATAAACCTGCTTCTTATGATCACATGAAAGTCATTGGCTGTCTTTGTTATTGTTCAACCTTGTTGGCCAACATAACCAAATTTGATTCCAGAGCCTCTAAGTGTATATTTCTTGGGTATCCTCTAGGTTGTAAAGGTTATATCCTTTACAACCTGGATACTAAGAAAACATTAATTTCCAGGAATGTCATTTTTTATGAATCAGTGTTCCCCTTTGCTAATCACTCACCTTCTGAGACTTCTGATTCTCTTTTTCCAGCACCTGATTCTCAATTTATATTTGACCAGTCATATACTCAACCTCCTATCACTCAGCCACCTGATATAAATTCCCCTCAATCACATCCCTCCAACTCACACAACCAATCTCCATCACCTATTCCTACTCAAATTATTCCATCACCTATTCCTACTCAAATTTCTACTCAAATTGTTCCATCTGAAACCCAATCTCCTACATCATCACCAATCAGGAGAAGATCCAATAGACCTACTAAAATCCCTGCATATCTCAGTGTTTATAAACATTCCATTCACCCTCAGCCAAACTCTTCTTGTTCAAATGCTACTTCAGACATTCCTGGTACATCACCTTACCCTATTTCAGACTATCTCTCTACCAACAGACTGTCTACATCCCATACATGTTTTACTGCCATGATTTCTTCTCAAACTGAACCCAAAACTTTCAAACAAGCTGTCAAAGATCTTTTATGGCAAGAAGCCATGAATAAGGAATTACATGCATTAGAACAAACTAAAACTTGGGTTCTTACTGATTTACCAAAAGGCAAACATTGCATAGGTTGCAAATGGGTTTTCAAAATAAAATACAAATCTGATGGCTCTATTGAAAGATATAAAGCCAGGTTAGTTGCAAAAGGATACACACAAGAAGAAGGCATAGATTTTTTTGACACATTTTCTCCAGTAGCTAAGATCACTACTGTTAGGTTTCTTGTTGCATTAGCATCTCTCAAAAATTGGCACATCCATCAACTAGATGTTAATAATGCATTCTTGCATGGTGATCTAAATAAAGAAGTTTACATGACTCCCCCCCCTGGCTACTGTTCTGAATCTGAGACTAAAGTTTGCAAATTAACAAAAAGTCTTTATGGCTTGAAACAAGCCTCAAGACAGTGGTTTCAAAAGTTAACATCATGTTTGTTGTCTTATGGTTTTACTCAGTCAATTGCAGATTGCTCCCTTTTCTATATGAATGATTCAGTTTCTGTTACAATCTTACTTGTCTATGTTGATGATATCATTTTGACTGGTAACAACATGCATCATATCACTGCCATAAAGAAACATTTAGATGATTGCTTCACTATCAAAGATTTAGGCAAACTCAAGTATATTCTAGGACTTGAATTTGCTCATTCTGAACAAGGCATTCATATGTGTCAAAGAAAATATGCTCTAGACATCTTAACTGACACATGTCTTCTTGCTTGCAAACCTGCATTAACTCCTATGGATTCATCTCTGAAATTAAGTAAGAATGATAATTCACCTGCTCTTGATAATCCATCTGAATTCAGAAGGCTTGTAGGTAGATTATTATATCTTACTATCAGCAGGCCAGACATAGCATACTCTGTTCAATCTTTAAGCCAATATATGTCACAACCTACTGCACAGCATCTTCACTCAGCACAGAGAGTGTTAAGGTATGTCAAGGGCACTATTGGACAAGGTATACTCTTTCCTAAATCTTCTAAATTACAGCTTACAGCATATTGTGACAGTGACTGGGCTTCTTGCATTGATACTAGAAAAAGTGTGACTGGATATTTGATATTTCTTGGTGACTCACTTATATCTTGGAAATCAAAGAAACAACCAACTATAAGTAGATCATCTGCAGAGGCTGAATATAGAGCCCTAGCATACACATCATGTGAAATACAATGGCTATCTTTTCTTTGCTCTGAATTACAGTTGTCACTTACTACACCTGTTTGCCTTTTTACAGATAGTAGTTCAGCTATTGCTATGGCCTCTAATCCTGTTTTCCATGAAAGAACAAAGCACATCGAGCTGGATTGCCACTTAATAAGAGAAAAGATAGCTCAAAGGCTCATCCAACTTAAGCACATTCCCACCAAATCCCAACTAGCAGACTTCTTGACAAAAGCTCTTCCAGGCCCTCTGTTCAAGTCTCTCCTCTCCAAGTTGAGCATGCCTAATATCCGTGCTCCACTTGAGGGGGGGTAATAGAATAGTTGTACATAGAGCTTTCATTGTTGTACTACACTTTTAGTTATTTCTGCATTGTAAAAGTGTTACTTGCTATTTAACACTTTAGGTTATAAGGGCAGAAACCCTAATATCCCAAACACTTTTCACATCATCTTCCTCAGATAATACAATCGTTTGATTTTCTCTTTATGTTCTATACACTTTACTGTACAAATTCCTCTAATATATATTCATCGTTATAAGAAAAAAAAAAGGCATGATTTAATTATGAAGGCCTAGCCTACTTCAGTGGAGAAAACTCCAAGTATACACTCGGGCGTTCTTGGCGTCGTTTTAGAAAGGACATCAATATTTATTTCAACATATTTTAGAAATTATTAGAAAGTTCGATGATTATTGTATTCAGCAGGAAAATTGGGCTTAAGTCCTTTACAAAAAAATGATAGCGGCAATACACATGCGTGCGTATAGTTGTTCTGCTGATATTCTTGAAGAATATATTCAAATATGTGAGACAACTGTCATTGAAAGCCTTAAGAACTTTTGTGACACGATAATCGAAGTGTTTGAAGAACAATATCTAGGAAAACCAATCCAAGTGCTAGTGAAAGAAAATGAAGCGCGAGGATTTTCAAGTATGCTTGATAGCCTAGATTGTATGCATTGCCATTGCAATTTGCAAAGATTGTCCGATTGATTAGCATGGTACACATACTAATGGGTTCAAAAAAGTTCCTACTCTCATTTTCGAGTATGTGGCTTCAAAATGTTTATGAATTGGGCATGCATCTGATATGCATTATATTGACATAAGGACAAATAATTTTTATTTCTAGCACAAGGTTACTGTTACGAAATCTACTACCACCCCTCAGCTTTCCTCACACTTAATTCAACTTAATTTAAATGCCTCTTCTCCTCCCCAACTTTTAAATCAAAAACGGCCTTTCTACTCCCATTTCCCACTATAAATACCGAACCTCTTAAACCCAAAATCTTCACACATACAAGGCTAATCAGAAGTTCTTATCACCCACTAAACCTACAAGCAAAATGAATTCCACACTCAAGCTTCTCCCAATAATCCTCCTCTTATGCCTCTCACTCTCAAACTCTGCGGCGGCCCGAATTTTCGACCCGGCACCAAAATCACAAATGACGGGCCTTGCGGCTCGTCTCAATAAGCTGGAAGAGGCCGAGGAGCCGTCAACTTGTTTCGAGTCGTTGTTCCAACTACAGTCATGCACGTCCGAGATTGTGCTCTTCTTCCTCAATGGAGAGACTTACCTCGGGCCGGGCTGCTGCAGGGCTGTAAGGACCATCCAGAAGGACTGCTGGCCCAATCTGATGGGCTCGCTTGGGTACACCACTGAAGAAGGCGATATTTTGGCGGGCTACTGTGATGCCGGTGAAGATGGGTCATCATCGGCTGTGCGCGCCCCTCCTTCTCCACCACTGGCCCACTAAGTTGGGCCCATTGGGCTTTAAGTTATTATGCTTAAAATGAATAATCAGAAGCTGCTTGTTTTGCCACTATTTTGATTAGTTTGCTCTGACTTGCTTTTGTTGTCCATATGGATCATAGAATGAGCAAGGTTCTTGATACCACTTGGTTTTTTTGGCCTTGGGTGAAGTCTGGTGTTTTTTTTTTCCCAAAAATGCTACATGTACATAGAGGTGTACATAATACTCACATGGAGTGGGGTCCATTGATTTTTTAATTTGGTAGGTCCCATCAAATGTGAGTGTTATGTACACCTCTACGTACATACCTATAGCATTACACCTTTTTTTTTTTGGGTCAAATTCAACATATTTTCTTGATACCACAAACTGACCGTAGCAAACAGAGTGTAAACAACCAACAAAAGGGGAAATAATAATTAAAAAAACCCCTCAGGTGTTCGAAAAAATCGAATTCCGGACCAGAATAAAGAAACGGCAATGTTAATATTGTCAAGGAGCACGGTCAAAGGGCTTAGTGTCGTTATAACAAATATCCCAAACAGCTTCCATTGCATCCTTTGCTGCTGCTTCCGAACAATATGGATTTGCTGTCACTGATTTCATCACTCTTCGCCGCACACAATCCTACATAAAGCCACTTTAAGAATGCTACTTTAAGAATGCTAGTAATTTGTATGCGGCCGAAACTCACTTGCTCATGTCCTCTCAGCTTCATAAAGCCACGAAGTAATTCCCTTTTGTAATGGCAATCTCCACTGAGATGGCCAGCCCGTATCTGCCCCCATAGGCAAAGAGAATTATAGTTGCATGTCAGATTACCAGGAAAAGAAAAATAATGACAACACAAAATCCCCACCTATGACACCTTTCCATGTGGTTATGAAATTGGAAATAACTTAGCAAAAGAAAAAAAGTAATAAGCAAGTGTTGTGCATAAAGAAAGAGTATAACCTCACTGCAAGCATGGTGAGCACAGTCAGACCAGTCCAAATTTGCAGAACGACATTCATCATACGCATGAATGAGCTCGTGAATCACCACTTGTGTTACCTCATCTTGGATTTGTAGGTGATTACTACATACCACTATCTATGATCAGAAACAATATATAAGGTGAGGAATCACAGATTTCCGATTTATTACACATAAAATAAAATAAAAAAAAAAATGTAAAATGCTGTCAATATTGTGACTCCTAGCTTCCACTTCAGAACACAGAAATTACTTTGGGAATCAACACACCATATTATTTTTTATGATTTTCCCCTTCTTCCGATTGGCGGTTTAGGATTTCAAGATTTGAACTTGCAAACTAATTAAGTAGTGTGTTGTAACTCAACTTACCCCTTCTCCTTTAACATAACCACCAGCAGTAGCTCCTTTACAATTGACAGCCTTTATGAAATTGCTGCCAATACCACATCCTGATTTCTCCAGGTGCTCCTTCAGAAATTTTACCATGGGAGCTGCATAAAAATACATCTCGATGAAGGAACATATTGTATCCTAGAGTCAATAAATAACCGTAACAATAACTAAATAGTACTTCGAAGACTTCTCTGGATCATATTCTGGCATTCCTCAACCGTCATGCCAGGGCTTGGCTTCAAATCAGGCTCATCCGCCATGAGTGCCTAGTATTAATCTGCTCATTATTATTGAAGTTGAGATTTTATGCCAACTAATTTAGAATTTTGCTTTTCTTAATGCAAGCTGAACGACGGTTTTTGCTCCATTCTGCTATTATATTTTGATCTTAATAAAGTGAAAAAATATCGTTGTGAAAGTGTTAAAATGTGTCCTTATAATTTAATACTAACTTTTTAAGCAACAAAGGAGAAGGTGTAGAGTACTCCAAATAGAGAAACAAAAGAAGATCCTAGGTTAGGGACTTTATATGTAACACCAAACTGCTTACAAAAATAACAAATGTATGCTAATAATAGAGAGCCTCATACACAATTTGCAAGCTGATAAAAAAGTCTGCATGTCAAACCAGAACAGGAAACACACGTACAGACAGAATAACAATGAGATATATGTCAGGTTAGGTGCAAACTGGAAAGACAACAACCAAAAATCATAATCATATAGCATTAAAAGCAAACAACCCTATAGAAGAGGGTGAAAAATCTCTCGTGTAACTAACCCCTTAAACCAGATTTTACGAGACATTGCAGACCAAAGAAATATCGAGTACTACAACAACCTATCCACAAAATTATTCACTAAAAAAATTTACCTTTTCTTTCCAGACATATTATACATCGCACGCGAAAAAAATACAAACAGGAAACGAATGAACAAAAAGGAATGATCTCAATATTGCATTTTCTTTAATCTTGACGACAGTGAACATAACTGGCTTCTTGTGTAGACTAAATCTCAAGGGGGTATAGTTTAATCTGGATGTCATTGTTGATAAGCAAGTAACCCATATTCACTCAGCCATACTGGAACTAATTTATGCAAAAAGCGAGAGTCTGCAGAACGCCAAATAGAAAACAAGAAAAAGAGAGCGTATATAAGGGAACCAACATATAAACAAAGCTGTTCAGAAGGAAAATAGTTATATTCTGATTATATCGATATCCATCTTGACCTTCCTAACCAAAACAGCAAAACGACGTGATATAAGACATGCTTATAATGGAAGAATTTAAAGTTTTTTTTAAAAAAAAAAAAACAAAAAAAGCAGACATGATATGCATCAAGAGCATGTCCTTTGAACTACGGAACCAACACTTGAAGCAAATCTCATGGTTTACTAGTATATACTCTTTTGATCAATGAGCGAAAGGGGCTGACCAGGTGAGAGAGAGATTCCTAATTGCATCTCGCGGGGCTAAGGAAAAAAAGAAGCTGAAGTATATATTACTAAGAGTGTGTTTCGCCCAATTAATTGTGGAGCTACGCGCAAATTCTCATTGGATCTCGGTTGTTCTTAACTACAAAGCTGTTAAGTGAGGTTAAGGGGATGCTGCCGCCTGCCTATTCATGCCATCAATTCCTAGCATAAACGCGGGAAATCCTTAAAATTGTTGATTAAACCCTTAAACTGACAGTCCATGCCGACAGATAGTTTACTCTACAAATGAAGAGGATACTGGACATGAAAATATATGTTTGCCATCACAATGGTTTCACTCAGTCTAGAAGTAACTTTCCCGAAGTTGGAGATATTCTTTTCCCAAAAATGCAGAAATGAAAAAAAAAAAAAAAA